TAGAACTGAACTAGAACTGAACTAGAACTGAACTAGAACTGAACTAGAACTAACTAGAAACTGAACTAGAACTGAACTAGAACTGACTAGAACTGAACTAGAACTGAACTAGAACTGAACTAGAACTGAACTAGAACTGAACTAGAACTGAACTAGAACTGAACTAGAATGAAACTGAACTAGAAATGAACTAGAACTGAACTAGAACTGAACTAGAACTGAACTAGAACTGAACTAGAACTGAACTAGAACTGAACTAGAACTGAACTAGAACTGAACTAGAACTGAACTAGAACTGAACTAGAACTGAACTAGAACTGAACTAGAACTGAACTAGAACTTGAACTAGAACGACTAGAACTGAACTAGAACTGAACTAGAACTGAACTAGAACTGAAACTAGAACTGAACTAGAACTGAACTAGAACTGAACTAGAACTGAACTAGACTGAACTAGACTAACTGAACTACTGAACTGAACTAGCACTGAACTAGAAACTGAACTAGAACTGAACTAGAACTGAACTAGAACTGAACTAGAACTGAACTAGAACTGAACTAGAAACTGAACTAGAACTGAACTAGAACTGAACTAGAACTGAACTAGAACTGAACTAGAACTGAACTAGAACTGAACTAGAACTGAACTAGAACTGACTAGAACTGAACTAGAACTGAACTAGAACTGAACTAGAACTGAACTAGAACTGAACTAGAACTGAACTAGAACTGAACTAGAACTGAACTAGAACTGAACTAGAACTGAACTAGGAACACTGAACTAGAACTGAACTAGAACTGAACTAGAACTGAACTAGAACTGAACTAGAACTGAACTAGAACTGAACTAGAACTGAACTAGAACTGAACTAGAACTGAACTAGAACTGAACTAGAACTGAACTAGAACTGAACTAGAACTGAACTAGAACTGAACTAGAACTGAACTAGAACTGAACTAGAACTGAACTAGAACTGAACTAGAACTGAACTAGAACTGAACTAGAACTGAACTAGAACTGAACTAGAACTGAACTAGAACTGAACTAGAACTGAACTAGAACTGAACTAGAACTGAACTAGAACTGAACTAGAACTGAACTAGAACTGAACTAGAACTGAACTAGAACTGAACTAGAACTGAACTAGAACTGAACTAGAACTGAACTAGAATTGAACTAGAACTGAACTAGAATTTTGTAAAAAACAATTTTAGACAAAAATATAAAACAATTTTGGTTAAAACTATGAGTGATCAGTAAACGATCTTTTTTCAATTTAACGTTTATGGAAAGTCATTAATGTTTTTTAGAGATGATTATTTTTTTAAACTTTTTATATGATCAACATCACTGTATGGCTGCGTGTGGAACCTAATCTAGCTGAAATTGGTAGACATCTTCCAAAAAAGGCATGACAACTTAACTAACAATTGTTAAAGGATAAAATATTAAACAAAAATTAAATATATAAAAGTTGCTTATAGCTGACACTTCAATCAACCTGTTGTACCAGAAAATAAAGATTGATTACGCATAAAACTGCAAAAAACTCAAATTATGTAATTTTATTTCTTTATAAAATAATAAGAAATTATGTTTTTTTTTAATTTTTTGCTAATTACCAAAGTATTAAAAATCAAAAGAGTTAAGCAACAAACGTGAGAATTAATAATAACAATACAAATCTACCTACAGATTTCATAAAAAAATAAGGCAATTAAACAAAAATACCAAAAAATATTTATAAAAAAAAAATTAATTGAACAAACAAAATTTTATGATTTTGACAAAAACAAGTTTCTCTTTACAAAAAACACCACACACCGACACCAAAAACCCCAAATTTCATTGATAAATTTCTTACAACAATATTATGTAAGACTGAGAAAACATTGAAAAAACACAAATTGTTTTAAATAAATATCATTTATCTGTGACCAACTGCAACACCCTAAAAAACTACAACCGACAAAGTACTTTAAAGAAAACAATAATAGCAAAATATACTAATTATGTTTAAACTTCAACTTGAATAAATATTTAAACAATGCCATAGGATTTTTTTTAAACAAAAACTATTTACTCAAAATAGTTTAAGAAAATTTTACATTGAAAAAATTGGACATAAATGCATTTAAATAATTATGCAAAAATTACTTAAATATACAAAAAAAAACAAATGTTTTTGGTAAATATTTGTTTTGAAAATACACAGTACCTAAAGACCGTATATAAGAGTTACAAGATGAAAAACTAAAAATACGAAATATAAACACAAAAGAAATCTATAAAATAAAATCTTCCGGCTATAATTTACAAACTGAATAAAACTACTACCAAAAAAAACATAAATGCCAAACAAAATTTAAGTAAAATAATTTAAAAATATTTTTAAAATGTTCAAACATAAAATTTTCAAACATTAATAGATTTATGAAACACACTACTTTTTACAATAAAAACTAAAAATTATCAAAGATCAAGAGAGATATATTTGCTTTCGTCTATAGCCAGGGTAAACTTTTTTATTAAAACTTAGTATTGACTAGAGCAACTTTTTTTCCTATAAAAACAAGAGCAACATTTTCTATAAAAACTTGCTCCAAACATCAGCAACTTTTTCTATAAAAATTTGTTCTAGACATGAGCAACTTTTTCTATAAAATCTTGCTCTAGACATGAGCAACATTTTCTATAAAAACTTGCTCTAAACCTTTTTCTATAAAAACTTGATCTAGAGCAACTTTTTTTTATAAAAACTTGCTCTAGACATGAGCAACTTTTTCTATAAAAACTTGCTCTAGACATGAGCAACTTTTTCTATAAAAACTTGCTCTAGACATAAGCAACTTTTTCTATAAAAACTTGCTCTAGACAAGAGCAACTTTTTCAATCAAAACTAGCTCTAGAAAAGAGCAACTTTTTCTATAAAAACTTGCTCTAGGCAAGAGCAACATTTTCCATAAACACTTGCTCTAGACAAGAGCAACTTTTTCTATAAAAACTTGCTGTAGACAAGAGCAACTTTTTCTATAAAAACTTGTCCTGGACAAGAGCAACTTTTTCTATAAAAACTTGCTCCAGACAAGAACAATTTTTTCTATAAAAAACATGCTCTAAACAAAGCAACTTTTTCTATAAAAAACATGCTCTAAACAAAGCAACTTTTTCTATAAAAACTTGCTCTAGACACGAGCAACTTTTTCCATAAAAATTAGCTCTAGACAAGAGCAACTTTTACTATAAAACATACTCTAGACACGAGCAACTTTTTCCATAAAAACTTGCTCTAGACAAGAGCAACTTTTTTCATAAAAACTTGGTGTAGACAAGAGCAACATTTTCTATGAAAACTTGCTCTAGATTAAAGCAACTTTTTCTATGAAAACTTGCTCTAAATTAGAACAATGTTTTCTAAGAAAACTTGCTTTAGACTAGAGCAACTTTTTCTATAAAAATTTGCTCTAGATAAGAGCAACTTTTTCTATAAAAACTTGCTCTAGGCAAGAGCAAATTTTTCTACAAAAACTTGCTCTAGACAAGATCAACTTTTTCTATAAAAACTTGCTGTAGACAAGAGCAACTTTTTCTATAAAACGTGCTCAAGACACGAGCAACTTTTTCCATAAAAACTTGCTCTAGACAAGAGCAACTTTTTTCATAAAAACTTCTATGAAAACGTGCTCTAGATTAAAGTTTTCTATGAAAACTTGCTCTAAATTAGAACAATTTTTTCTAAGAAAACTTGCTCTAGACTAGAGCAACTTTGTCTATAAAAATTTGCTCTAGATAAGAGCAACTTTGTCTATAAAAATTTGCTCTAGATAAGAGCAACTTTTTCTATAAAAATTTGCTCTAGATAAGAGCAATTTTTTCTATAAAAACTTGCTCTAGGCAAGATCAACTTTTTCTACAAAAACTTTGCTCTATAAAAACTTGCTGTAGACAAGAGCAACTTTTTCTATAAAAACTTGCTCTGGACAAGAGCTACTTTTTCTATAAAAACTTGATGTAGACAAGAGTAACTTTTTCTATAAAAACTTTCTATAGATTAGAGCAACTGTTTCTGTAAAAACTTGCTCTGGATAAGGGCAACTTTTTCTATGAAAACTTGCGATAGATTAGAGCAACTTATTCTATGAAAACTTGCTCTAGATTAGAGCAACTTTTTCTGTGAAAACTTGATCTAGTCTAGAACAACTTTTTCTATGAAAACTTGCTCTAGATTAGAGTAACTTTTTCTATTAAAACTTGTAATAAATTAGAGTAACTTTTTCTATAAAAACTTGCAATTTTTTCTATAAAATTTTGCTCTTGACTAGAGCAACTCTTCCTATAAAATTTCACTCTAGACTAACAAAAAACTTAGGACGAAAACTTTGTTTAATAGATTTTAACCTTCAAAATTATTAGCAAAATTTATAAAATATTTTATTAATTAATTTAAAACCCATAGGTAGGGTATAAACAAATATAATTATTAAAAAAAAGATAATTAACAAACACCTTAAAAGAAAAAAGTGTTCAAAATTATTCAAGCATTAATATCAATGATCTTCTATCCAAATTTGTTTTGCTAAAAAAAAAACTTTGTTAAATATTTTCCTTTAAAAAAATTCAAATTACTGGACTTCACAGACAATTGAGTAAAACAAAAAAAAAAAAATAAATAAAAACTTGTCCTCAGTCCCCCCACTAAAATCACGTAAGCCTAAAACCAAAAAAAACTGAATTACCAACTACATAATACTCATTGCCAGTAAGAAAAAAAAATTCAAATTTAATTCAAGTCTTTTTCCAAAATTGAAGAAACATAAAATTTTAAAACCAAGAGCACAGACATGTAATACAAACAAACTTACTACTGCTCATGATGTACTCTCAGCTTTTTGGGTTTGGAAAAAAAACTCACTCATTACTTTTAGCTCAAACTCAAAGTATATTTTTTTTAAATTTTGTGTTTGCATTTAATAATTTTTTTCATTTAGGTATATAAAGTGAGGAGGCATATAAAATTCCATGTCATTTTATAAATTACGGTCGTCGTTACGTTACGAATTTAAAAAACAGTAGTAGTGCCGTACTACCGAAAAAAAAACGAAAACGAAAGTGTGGTGTTTCAGTTATAAATTAATATATTTTTTAAAGAAAAATTAAAAGAAATTAAATAAAAATTTCCAAAATGAAAGCCTTTGTAGTGGCCAGTGTTTGTTTGTTCAGTATTTTGAGTGTGGGTTTGGCACAATTCTCCAATGGTCGTGTACTCGATCCACCAAATCCACAATTGTGTGCTCAAAGAGTTATACATGAAAAGACACCCGATGGCAAAGGGTGAGTTGAGAAAAAGAATATAAGAATTTTTTATAAAAAATATTTTAATTTTATTAATTTAACAAAGAAAAATAAATAAAAAAAAGTTGTGATTTTTTTTTTGGTTTATTAAATGAGTCATTGAAAAGTGAAAGTTTTAAGAACATAAATTGCATTATTTAAAAAAAAAAGAAAAAATTAAAATAATAAAAAAATTATAAAATTATTTAACGGTTTTATTTAAAAATTTATGAAAATTTGCTAAAATTTAAATACATTTTTTTTTTGTATATTAAAAAAATGTTCTAAATATTTTCTCCAAAAATTTCCATAATTTTGAAATTTTTCAAATTTTAGTTTTTAAAATTTTAAAGTTATGCTTTCAGCCAAGTTGCCGAATAAATTTCAAATGAAATAAAATAAATTTTAAAAATCTATTCAAAATTTATCAAATTTTTTGAACATTTTTTTGAGTTCATTCGTTCGCGGAAAAGGAACATTTTCCAAATTTTAAAAGTAAAATCGATATTATAATTAAAACTTTAATGTTTTTCAAATAAAAACCTCTTTCTTTAAATTTAACTTTAAGAACTTTTTGAATAATTTGTTCGCGATTAATCCTTAAATTTCTATAAAACAGTTAAAACTAATTTTAACAAGAAGTATTAGGGTCTCATTCATAAACTTTTATCAAAGATTTTCAAATAAAATTTTCATACAAAATTTGTAATATAAACCTTTGATAATTGTTTATGAATAAGGCAGTTAAAGTTTTATTTTTTCTATTTAAAGAAAACTAAAAGTTTTTAAATTATAAACAATAAAATTGTATTATTAATTTATTAAACTATAAACTTCTATTTAAATAATTCAAATATCACAACTTTTTTAATTAAAATATTTTATTTAATGATCATTTTAGAATTTAGAATAAAAAATTTTTTCAAAAAACTTTCTTTAAACTTTGTTCATTTCGTAAAATTTTTCCTTAAATTATTTAAAATTTTATATATATTTTTTTAAATTTTTAATTACAGTTACTTCTTCTCTTGGCGCGATCCTGCCTTAAAGGGTGTCGAAGAAGATTGGTTGAGTGCCAGAAACTACTGCCGCAGACGTTGTATGGACTCAGTATCTTTGGAAACTAGCTTGGAAAACGAATGGATTAAGCAACGTGTTGTCAATGAAAAAGTAAGTTTAAATAAATCTATGTAAAGTTTTTCTATAAAAAAAATGATCTAGACTACAGTAACTTTTTCTATAAAAGCTTGCTCTAGACTACAGCAACTTTTTCTATAAAAGCTTGCTCTAGACTACAGCAACTTTTTCTATAAAAACTTGCTCTAGACTACAGCAATTTTTTCTATAAAAACTTGCTCTAGACTACAGAAACTTTTTCTATAAAAACTTGCTCTAGATTAGAGCAACTTTTTCTATGAAAACTTGCTTTAGATACGAGCAACTCTTTCTATAAAAACTTGCTCTAGACAAAAGCAACTTTTTCTATAAAACTTGCTCTAGACTAAACAAACTTTTTCTATAAAAACTTGCTTTAGATTAGAGCAACTTTTTCTATAAAAACTTGCTCTAGATTAGAGCAACTTTTTCTATGAAAACTTGCTTTAGATAAGAGCAACTTTTTCTATAAAAACTTGGTCTAAACTAGAGCAACTTTTTCTTCGAAAACTTGCTATAGACAAGAGCAACTTTTTCCATAAAAACTTGCTCTAGACTAGAGCAACTTTTTCTGTAAAAACTTGCTCTAGATTGGAGCAACTTTTTCTATAAAAACTTGCTCTAGATTAAAGCAACTTTTTCTATAAAAACTTGCTCTAGACTAGAGCAATTTTTTATGAAAACTTGCTCTAAACTAGAGCAACTTTTTCTACGAAAACTTGCTATAGACAAGAGCAACTTTTTTTATGAAAACTTGCTCTAAACTTGAACAATTTTTTCTATGAAAACATCGCTCTAGACTATAGCAACTTTTTCTATAAAAACTTGCTCTAGACTAGATCTACTTTTTATATAAAAACTGGCTTACTAGAGCAACATTTTATATGGAAACTTGCTCTAGATTAGAGCAACTTTTTCTCTAGAAACTTGTTCTAGAAAACTTGCTCTTGTCTATAGCAATTTTTTCTATAGTTTCAAGTCCCTTTCTAAAGCTTTTAAGATTTTCCATTTAAAATTCGATCCAGTGCTTCATGTAAATGATCTCTGAGTCATTTTTTGTTTATCAAAAAACCGTGGAAACTTTCTAAACTGTCATTAAATGTTTATAACATTTTGTATAATTGTCTTTAAATTAAACAATATTTACAATATTTTGGTAATAAGTTGCTTTAAACTTAATTTATTGATTTTGTGTGTTGATTTTGTGTTTTATTGGATATGCGATCGAAATAAAAATTAAGCGTGAGATCACACAGTAAAAAAAAAACAATAAGAATATCTCTCTTCATTTGTTCATTAAAAGATCAAGTTCGTTTGTTTGTGCATGAGGTTGATCTTCTTATTTTTATTATTATTTTTTTTTCTATCAGACGATATTTAAATTAAATTAAAAAAAATAATGTTTTTTTATTTAAAATTATTCAGAAAAGATCTTTATATGAAGATTTTCATTGATAACTAGGTAAAAAACATTCAAAAACATTTAAATTCTCATTTAAGACCAAGTGATCACTATGGCAATGTCTAATAAGATCGCATTGGATCTTTACTGCATCAGATTGATCTCTAGATAAAATTTCTCAAAAATAATGAATATTTCTTTATTCATTGTGAACGCAAAAGATCAGTCATAAGTGTGGTGATCGCGAAAGCAATTAATAAGTGATCTTCTTTTGAGGGTTTTCATTGATCACGAATGTGTAAAACATAGACAAACATGAGACAAATTTAAAATCTGTTAAGAGACGATTCAATTTGTTTTCCCTTTAATAGGTTTAAATGGCGATCACTGCTTTAGTGATATTGTTAAAACTGCATTTGCTCTGATATTTAAAATATGTTTCTTAAATTATACAAAATTTTGGTTATATTTATCAATTTAGTTGCTTAGAATGGCGATCTTTACCTTTTCTACCAACAGTCGTATATTTCCATACAACTATAAGACATAGTGATCTTGCAGAGAGGAAAATACATAGATTTTTTTGGAATTAAACTTTTGCAACTTTTAATAATAGTTGAATAATGTAATTATTTCCTGATAATTATATTTTATAAGACCTGATGTATGTCGCGATCATTACAAATCGCGATCATCTTTTGAGAAACTAATTGAAATTTTTTTGCTTCAATATGACATAATAATGATAAACGATTTCTGTCTGTTACATTAAGGTCATTTTGAATGATTATATCAGTTTGAAAATAATGTGACAACATAATATAATAAGACTAATTGGTAATTTGATCATTTTAAAATTAGCCCTAGGGGGAACAAAACCCTCTGGGGGTTTTAATTATTTCTTAATTTTATAATGTGGAGTTAATGATCTAGTTGAAATATTTGAGTTAAATAATCATAATTGTTCAACTAATTAGAGCTGTAATGCACACACACACATATATCCACACATATGTAGTGAAGATAAACCAAAGACTTAAACAACATTGATGTTAACAAAAGACTTAAGAAACAAACCTGCCGATGAATTTGAATTTCTTGAAGAGTTTTTTTGTAAATGTAATTTTTATACAAATTAAGTATTAACACACATTTTTTTCTTTTAACAATGTATAACAAAATTTAAATTCTTAACACATCTTTTTATGAAAAAATGAAAAAAAATTAGAGCATTATTTATGCGTATTGTGTTACAAATTTAAATTAGAAAACTAACGATTGAAAATGAAAGTGAATTGATACAAAACACTTTCGATTTCAAGACAATACATGTGTTATAGTTTGCATTAAAAATAACACAAAGAATTACAAAATTTGTAAAATTTTATTCAATTTACAACACAACTAAAACACTGTTTGGAAAAAATTAAAAAAAAATTTACTCAATGAATTTTAAAGAAGAAGTAAAAACAATTAGCTAGAAAAAAAAAACAAACTTACATAATACATACTTATTTAAATTGCAAGAGGCATAAATAAATGAATAATGTGGCATGAGGCAGCAGCAGAAAAAAAACATAAAAATGTTTAAAATTTGCACGTAAAGCTGGCATTAATTTAAAAACAACAACAAGAGTTTACATTGAACTTAAGGCTTTAATAAAATTATAAAAAAAAATAATGAAAAAATTGTGATGCCGGTTTTTGTTGCTATTTCCCCTAGCAAACAAATTGCATTTTAAGTAATAACAACAAACAGCTAACATGAATAAGCAGGTCTTAAGATGTTTGGCGGTTTGTTTATAAAAGTTTTCCTTGTATATGTCTCTATATTTAAAGAAAAAGAAAAAATGTTAATGATAAAAAAATTGCCGGAAATTTTTTTTTAAAACAAAAGTTATTATTTACTCGTACAGTAGGTAATAAAGCTAAAGACTTTAGCTACTGTTTGCAAATCATAAAACAACAACAGCAACATAACATATTTTTAACTCAGAGAGTCCAAGTAAACTTTTCTAAAGTAACGAGTTATAGCAACTTTTCGAGTTATTGTATCCCTCAGTTTTTGATCATATTTGAGTCGCTATAATAGCGTGAAGACATCTTTATTTAGAAAATTTGTCATGTCATCTGAAAGCTCAATCTGTCGACTTCATAATTAAGGTGTAATCTCCGTTATATGTCAGTCCTTTATAAAAATAATTCCTTGATAAGAAAATAGCCAAATGTAATCTGAACACAACTTCGTATAAGGATTCCTTCTTAAATCTTCTCATTTAAGAGTTTACACAAAATCCTGCAAACAACAAATTTGTCTCTTTCATCTTTGCCTGTTTTATCTTTTATCTTATGATCGTTTTTGATCATTTTTTGCTTCAGTAGATCTTTAAATTAGATCAAGATATCAATCGTTAATGTCTAAAAGTTATTATAAACTTTAGCTAAGGATATCTCGAAGAAGGGATGAGCTATAACCGTGGTTAAACCTTTAATTGAAAGTCGACAGATTGGATCTTCAAATAATAAAGCAATCATTGTAAATAAAACTGGCTTCGGCTTGTTATAACATCTTGAAAATGGAATTTTTCAATCTTTATGACACGATATGTGGAAAACATAATGTGAAGAAGAACTAGATTAAGATTCAAAGTTGCTCAGTCCTTTAAAAGTTTACTAGGATTCTGGGTTTCGACTTTTTTTCCAAACTTTGTTGGCCTGTGTAATTAAAAGAGAAATGTTAATAATTTTCACAAATTTTATAAATTAATAAAATTATTTTTTACAAATTACAAAATCATTAATAAAAAAACTTTAATTATCTATAATTTTTTTTGAACTCAAAATCTTTTCATTAAATTATCACTATTATCATTATCACTCTCAAAATGATCACAACTAATTACCCCTATATTGTTGTTAAAAGGTTGACACAATCGTTGGCCCAAAAAATTATGCCATTTTCAAATGTATGTCAAATCTATTTTAATGTTAAAATCACGTTTAATGATACAAAACTGTCAAAACTCAATATTTTGTATATGTGTGTGTGTGTGTTTTTGTTTTCTTTTCATGAATGAATCAAAATTCAAAATTCAAGTTGAAGTGGTTTATGTTGTAATAAATTATTTTATGTTTTACTGCCCATTAATAATAAACAAAAGCTTGTTTTAGAAAGAAAAAAAAATATCACATTAAATGATCATTTAGTTTTTTTAAATTGAATGAAATTTTAAAACAATAGAATTGCCGAAATACAATAGAAAGAAGACAAAAAAAAAAAACAAAAACAAACAATTGGTAGCAATTTATTGTAAATTTGAACAGAAGATTAAAGTCATGAAATTGTTTATTATTTGCAATAAACATAAGCAGAATTTTGAATAAGATTTGGGAAAATTGTTTTTCATAAATAACAAATAATTGATTATAAAACTTCATTTATTATAATAGATAACGATTAAAGCTCTCTCGTAAAGTTAATGTATAAGAACTAACTAAACCAATGAGAGCTTTAATATTGCACTCTCTGCCGATACTTGTTTAAAAAAGTTTTCCCGTTTAGATATAGGGACTACAATAATGCTTTCATTTTGAATCATCTTATCAAATCCATATTTGATATTTTAAATATTTTTTCTCGAGAAGCTTTTTTTTTATTAAAAAGCTTTATTCAAACATAACTGTAAACCGCTCTAGAGATCCTAACGAAGCATATGATGCAGAGATCAGACAAATATTCTTAATAGTAAATCGTTAATATTAAAAGTCCATTAAATTGTTTTAGAAACAATGGAGATTACGACGAGCTTTACTAAAGCTTTCTAAATAAATACTTTACTCATTTGAAAGCTTAAAAATGTATTTTCGATAAGAGATAAAAATGTTTGAAAAATTAAAACGATTTTTTAAATATTTTTTTCACGAAAAGCTTTTTCTATGAAAAAGCTTTTGTCAAACATAACTTTAAAAAGCTCTAGAGATCCTAACGAACAATATGATGCACAGATCTGTCAAATATTCTTAATAGATCGTGAATATTAAAAGTCCACTAAATTGCTTTAGAAACAATCGGGATAAAGGCGAGCTTTGCTGGAGCTTAAGAAGAAAATAAAAGTTTTTAACAAAAGTTTTATATGTTTTCTTAAAACGAAGCTTTTACGAAACTTTTTTCCGTATAGTAATTAAGAAAGCTTTTTTCAAAGCTATTTTTTAAAGTGTAAAGCTTTTGCATTAGAACTTATTTTTATAATACTTTATCTAAAAATATATTTTTATTGAAGCTTTTATAACAACTGATCTAAAAATATATTTTTATGGAAGCTTTTCTAAAAAAAATTAAGCCAAAAAGCTTTGTTTTTTATTTTTCAAAATGTCGTTTCTATAGTCAATTTCTGTATATAGATCAAAAAAGCTTAAAGTCAGTATTTAGTTCAAAAAAGCTCCTTTTAAAGTTTTTTCTTTAAGGGTAAAGCTTTTGCATTAAAACAGATTTTATAACAATTTATCTACAATGACGTTTTTATTGAAGCTTTTATAACACTTGATTTAGAAATATATTTTTATTGAAGCTTTTATAAAAAAAATTAAGCCAAAAAGCTTTTTTTATTTATTTTTCAAATATCGTTTCCATAGTCAATTTCAGTATGTAGATCAAAAATGCTTAAAATGAGTGACTTTGAGTATTTAGTTCAAAAAAGCTCCTTTTAAAGCGCTTTCTTTAAGGGTAAAGCTTTTTATAACAGATTTTTAACAATTTATAACACTTGATTTAAAAATATATTTTTATTGAAGCTTTTATAAAAAAAATTAAGCTAAAAAGCTTTGTATTTTTATTTTTCAAATATTTTCGTTTCGAGAAGAAATATGTTTTTATTAAGACTTTAATCAAAATAACAAAAATAAGTTTACTAATTGAAATTTTTGATTTTTTTTTTGGGAAAAAAGCTTTATTCCAATATATTGTGCTTTTGAAAGCATTTATGGTGTTAATTAAGTTTAAGAAAGGTCCATTTTCTTTGCAAAAAACCTTTTATAAAAGATTTGTATATCAACAATTTACAGCTGCAGCAAAATGTAAAGAAATTGATTTTTTTTTTTGTTCAATTTCTAACTATTGTCATAAAGTTTGGTTAAAGAAAATCTTGAAAATTTATTTAAAAAACTTCAATGGCCACAAAATGCCGTTTAATTAAAAACACCTTAAAAGTTTCTTGCCTCAAACTTTAAAAACAAAACACGTGTGTCTCTAAAAACCCCAAAACTTCATTTATAGATTTCCTTTACTTTAATAGGACAAATTTGATCACGTTGCCACGCTTAAGCACAATACTTTAAAAAGCTTTTTTACAATATTTTACAGGAAAAACCAATATAACTTTAAAATTAATCACAAAAATCAATGAATATTTTACAAAAATATTTAAATAAGTAAAAACTTAAAAGAAGCATTATTTACCAAGAAAACCACAACTCAACATAAAAACCTTAAATAACTTTAAACACAAATATTTTACAACAACAAACAAATATAAATGTAATATAAATATAAAATAAACCTATAGATTCAATAGCTTTACAAATAAACATACTTAAGAGAAAGTGTCTGTTAATGATATTGTAAAAAGTATTGTTAAGAAAAAAATTCGATTTTTTTTAGACCAAAGTTGGTAACAAAACACATTAAGGTGGGGTTAGGTTAAATGTTTTTAATGCATTTGTTTAAGCAAAACCAAAATAACACACTCAAACACTTGAATGAATTTTTTTTTTGTTTAACACTAAAAATAGTGATGACAATTTACGGCTTTTTTGTTGTATTTATAGGCACGATTTGGGTCTAGCTAGTATTTGAACAATGAGGGCTTTAATGTTTAAAATTTCTTTACCTTTATTATTTGGTAACAATAGTTTCCGTTATATTTTACATACAGTCATGTTTATGCTAGAAATGTCGTTAACTTTTCCTTTTTTTTAACAACTAACTGTCTGTCCATCCGTCCGTCCGTCCATTTGTATGTTGTACATTTGCACTCATGGAAATTAAAAAAAATTTAAATTTATTATTTTATGCTGGTACCGCTTGGTATCAGTTTTGTATGGTAAATTTGTTTATTTATTAATAATGAGCTTCAACAAATGGAGAAGAAATAGAGAGAAAAAAACACGTAAAGTAATGTAGTGAAAAAATGTTTTTGGTTAATGAGTTAAAATTACATGCTTCTTGGACTATGAAGTGTTAAATTGTTACACATTAAACAAATAATAAACACATGATCAATGTAATTAATAAATTTCCTTAACAATTAAGAAAGTTTTTTGATATTAATTCCTTTTTTTCCACTTTCCCTCTCTTCCAGGTAAAATACATCTGGACCTCTGGTCGCCAATGTGACTTCAAGGGTTGCGAACGTCCCGATTTACAGCCCACCAACATTAACGGCTGGTTCTGGACTGCTACTTTACAAAAACTTGCCCCCACTAATGAACGCAGCCAAGGTGATTGGTCTCCCACTGGCGGTATTGGTTTACCTCAACCCGATAACCGTGAATACAAACAAAATGGTGCTCCCGAAAACTGTTTGGCTCTCTTGAATCAATTCTACAATGATGGTGTCAACTGGCATGATGTTGCTTGCCACCACAAGAAACCTTTCGTTTGTGAGGAAAACGATGCTCTCTTGAAATATGTTCGTTACACCAACCCTCAATTGCGCATTTAAAGTGGGTTTGAGGTTAAACTCCTCCCTTTTAATTAAAGAATTATAAAAAATTCAAATTTGTGTTTCACACACACACACACATGCTCAACTTTTAGAAACCAAAAATATTTAAATTTTGCTCTTCTTTCATTTTTCTCGCTTTTTTCCAAAAAAAAAAAAAAATAATAAAATTTTTTTTATATTCTTTAATACTATTTCTCTAAAAAGTTCATATTTCCCTGCATATGTCCTCTGTTTCTGCTAAAATATCTATATCACTGTCTTCTATTCTACTCAACACTTAATTAGTTTAATTTTTTTTAATTTTTGTATTAATTTATGTTAAAAAAATAAAAAACCAAACAAAAGAAAAAATACTAAAAACCAAAAATGTAAGAGTTTTCTTTGCTAAAAGGTCTCAGGATCGGGTAATCATAATATTAAAAACTAAAATCAAGGATGATAAAGATTTCCTTTACAAAAACATTCGATGATGAAGTTGTTTACAGAAAATTCTTTAATGATGATGTTTTTTAAAAGAGAGATCTCTTCGTTTATAAAGATTTCTATAGTTTTCTAATGAAAACTATTCGATGTTGCAATTTTCTATAGAAATCAGTTTAATGATAAAGTTTTTTTCAATAGAAAGATCTTCAATGCCAAAATGTTCTATAGAAAACTAATCGATGATGATAGAAAACGAAACAATGATGAAGTTTTCTATGGATGGCAAAAATTTTCTATAGAAAACTAAACGTTGTTGACGTTTTCTATAAAAACTTGTTTACTGAATACTTTAATGAAATATCGTCCTTATTGGTCGAACACCCTACCACAGAAAACAAAAGTTGCTCTGGCACAACTTAGATGAAGATAGAGCAGCGGCTTAGCGCCTCGTCATACCGCATAATATGAGCAGCACGTGGTCATGGTCTCTATGATACCCAACACATATACAACTGTCCAGCCCACCCTACTTCACTTAGCCAAAAATTTTGAAGTAGTGCAACTTCTTGGCTTGGAGCTCAACCTGACCACCGGATCAAAATTGTACAGTTTAAGCTGTTACAACAACGACTTCCGCCCGTCTAAGACAGGAACAATATTGCCTATGGTCAAAGTAATATATATATACTAAATAGCAATGAACCTTGTATAAACGGATTTTTAATAGTCCATAGTTAACATCAGTGGCTAGAAGCCTATGATTTCAGATATTACTAGTTGAAAAATTAGATCTAGATTATTTTTGTTTAAAGATTTTACCTGTTAATTAATGTAAACGAGTTTCTTTAACGTATTCAAACACTTGCACAACATTTTTATGAAAAATTCCATTAATTTACTGGGAAAACACTTGGTATATTTTAAATATATTTTATTCTAAATAAATATATATTATTTCTAAATAATTAAAACTTTTCGCGGATTGATTTGTTTACATTACAAAAATATTTTTCCTGTCATTTCCTTTCCATTCTTGACATATATAAAAGCTCGATATTAGGCAAGAGTCGCAGTTACAAAATTATTGTAGTCTATTTAGCCCTTAACGAAAAAAATATATTGTAATGGGAAAACCAGAAATTTTTAAAACAAAAAACAAACAATCATATTTTCTACTTAATAGAAAAGATTTGTCTAAAAAATCCAAAAATTGCACAAAATTTCACATTATTTATAGTTACTATTTATTTCCGTTACTTATTGTCTATTTTTTGTGCTAACAATCTGGCATTACATACCCAAGCTGCTGGCTATGAAATTATTTCGCTATATATTTTGACAGCCGTATTTTTGTTTACATTTTTGCTTTTAGAATTCTAGAAAAAACATTTTTTATTAATTAAACGTTTTAAGGCAGAAAAATATGGATATTGGAGAATTACTGTCATTTAAAGTAAGTAAAATTATATATTATCAATACTTACACAAATTTCTAACTAATTTTCTTTTGCTAACAGCCCGAGTCCACACCAAAAAGGCCACATGAGGATGATGACGACTATGGTGGTGGCTCACCGGAACATCATAGCTCCTCACGACAAGATGAAAAATCCCGACGTTTGAAACGTATAGCTCAGGCTAAAGAAACAGCAGATTTTGCTAAACCAGAACCACCAACTTTGTCAGCGGTGCCGTCATTTTTAATGGATCCTGAATTAACGGAGGAGGAACGTTTGAATATTTTAAAATATGTCGAAAGTGAAGAAGCCGAGGGTGATGTCTTAGATGAGCAGGGTTTGAAGAAGTTGCTGTTGGTGTTTGAAAAGAAAAACTTAAAGAATCAAGAGTTAAGAATCAAATATCCTGATAATCCGGTAAAATTTATGGATTCCGAGGTAGAATTACACAGTGTTATACAGGAATTGAAGGCTGTGGCTACCGTGCCTGACTTATATCCTCTGTTAGTGGATTTAAATGGTGTAGCAAGTTTATTGGAGTTATTAAATCATCCGAATACTGATATATCGGTGGCTATAGTGGATTTATTGCAGGAGGTTACAGATGTCGATATATTGGGTAAGTTGGTTTTGCATAAATAGAAAAATTCCATTAATTTCTTAATATTTATTTTTTAATAACAGGTGAAAGTAGTGAGGGTTGCGATTTACTTATAGACGCTTTACGCAAGCAACAGGTTACAGCTCTCCTAGTGCAAAACTTGGAACGTCTTAATGAGCAGATTAAGGAAGAGGCCGATGGTGTACACAATACTTTATCAATTATAGAGAATTTAACCGAAATTAATAGTGAGGTGGTGCGTGAAGCTGCGCAACAAGGTTTATTAAGTTGGATTTTAAAAAGACTTAAACAGAAGCCACCCTATGATGCCAACAAATTGTACTGCAGTGAAATCTTATCCATACTTATACAGACTAACAATGAAAACAGACTTATGTTGGGCGAGGTGGATGGCATTGATATTTTATTGCAACAATTGGCTTTTTATAAAAAACATGATCCTGCCTCCAATGAAGAACAGGAATATATGGAAAATCTTTTTAATTGTATGTGTTCTGCCCTAATGGCGAAAGAAAATCGTGAACGTTTCTTGAAAGGTGAAGGTTTACAGTTGATGAATTTAATGTTAAGAGAAAAGAAAATGTCAAGAAATGGTTCGTTAAAAGTACTCGATCATGCCATGTCGGGTCCGGATGGTAAAGATAATTGTAATAAATTTGTAGATATTTTGGGTTTGCGTACAATTTTCCCTCTGTTTATGAAAACACCCAAGAAAAACAAACGTTTATTGTCGGCCGATGCTCATGAGGAACATGTTTGTGCTGTTATAGCCAGCATGTTGAGAAATTGCAAAGGAGCTCAACGTCAAAGGCTGTTATCGAAATTTACCGAAAATGATCACGAAAAGGTGGATCGTTTGTTGGAATTACATTTGAAATATTTGGAAAAGGTAGAAGCTGTTGATAGAGAATTAGATCAGCAGGAAAAGGTTTGCTATTTTATACTGTTGTTTCCCTAAAGATTTTGTATATATTTTGTTTTGCTTTTTCTTGTAGGATGAAGACAACGAGGATGAAGAGGCAGAAAACAATTATATTAAACGTTTAACAGGCGGTTTATTTACTTTACAAATGATTGATTATATTATTTTGGAAATTAGCTCGACCACTGAATCAATTAAACAGCGTGTAGTTCAGATACTTAATTTAAGAGGCGCCTCTATGAAGACCATACGCAGCATTATGCGTGAGTATGCTGGCAATTTGGGTGATGATGGCGATACGGATTGGAAAGAACAGGAACAAACTCATATTTTATCGTTAGTTGATCGTTTTTAAAATGTTTCATGGATTCTTTTTATGTTTAAATAAATATAAATTCCAATTAAGAGAATTTACGTTACATTTATTAAGTTATTATTTATTAAGTTGTCTATAGAATATGTACTGAAGTCTATTCGATGATGAAGTTTTCTGATGAAAGATGTTCAATGAAGAAGTTTTCTGTAAAAAACTGATTTTGAAGTTTGTTTTATAAAAAAATTGTTCGTCGTTGAAGTTATTTATAGAAAATTGTTCTATGGGGAAATTTTCTGTAGAAAACTGTTCTACGAGGCAGTTTTCTAGAGAAAACTGTTCGATGAAGAAATTTTTTATAGAAAAAATATTCGATGAAGTTTTTTATAAAAACCAGTTCGTTGAAGAAATTTGATATTGAAAACCGTTCGATGAAGAAATTCTTTATAGAAAACTGTTCGGTGGAGAAGTTTTCTATTAAAAACTTTTCAATGTAAACTGTTCGATAATGAATAGACGATCAAAAAGTTTTCTATATAAAACTGTTTGATAATGAATAGACGATGAAAAGGTTTTCTATAGAAAACTATTCGATGAAGATAAAGAAATTTTCAATAGAAAACGGTTCAATGAAGATAAAGAAATTTTCTATAGAAAACTTTTCAATGTAGAACTTTTCTATCGAACACTGTACGATGAATAAGTTTTCTATAGACAACTGTTCGATGAGAAAATTTTCTATAGAAAACGTTTGAATTAAGAAGTTTTCTATTGAAAACTTTTCAATGAAGAAGTTTTCTATTGAAAGCTATGATGATGTTTTCTATAGAAAACAGTTCGATAAAATACTTTTTGTGGGGAAACTATTCGGACGATGAAGTTTTCTAAAGAATACTGTTCGATGAAGAAGTTTTCTATAGAAAATTCTCGAAAATAAAGTTTTATATAAAAAACTGTTCCATGATAAAGTATAGAAAAGTATAGAAAACTGTTCCATAATAAGGTTTTTTGTAGGAAAAGTGTTGGATGAAGAGGTTTACTGTAGAAAACTATTCGATGATGAAGTTTTCTACGGAAAACTATTTGATGTCGAAATTTTCTATAGAAAACTGTTAAATAAAGATGATTTTTATAGAATCTGCACAATAATGAGAATTTTTATAAACAATTTTTTGAGGAACAAGTTTTTTGAAGAAAACTTTTCTCTAGTTTTGTGTAGTAAACTGTTCGATAAAGGAAATTTCTTTAAAAAACTGATCGATAGTTAAGTTTTATAAAGAAAACTATTAGATGTTGAAGTTTTCTATAGAACACCGTTCCATGAAGAAGTTCTCTATATAAAACTATTCATTTATATAGATTTCCATAAAAAACTATTCGACGAAGAAGTTTTCTGTTAAAAAAAGAAGTTTGATTATGAAGTTTTCTTTAAATAACTATTCGATGACGCTTTCTATAATACTTTTCTATACAAAATATTTGATTAATTGTCTTTTTATGGAAATCAGATATTTCTGTTTGTTTTATTTACGTTACTGTTACTTTTTTCTTTTTATTTCTGATTACTGGCCTAAATAGGCCAATTATTTTAGTGCCGTACACGGGGATCCTTTATCTGTAAATAAATTTTGTTAATTATTAATATTTTATATTATTGTATATTTTAAATAAAATGTTTTTAATTTAATTCTAAAAATAATGGTTTTTTCATTGGCCAAAATATGGAGGAATAAAAACATTCAAAAACTATATGGAGAAAGCCCCACACAAACAAAGGAAATTTCAAACAAGCTTTCAAAAGTTTAAATTGCAAGGAGGATTTTCTATTTGCTGCCCCTAGCAAAAAAAGAAAATAAATTAGTTAAAAAAAAAAAAAACAACAATAAAATAATAAATATTTGGTTTTTTAAGAGGTATTTTATGTTTAAGATGGTGTAATTTTTTTCTGTTTATGTTTAAATTAAAACTAAAAAAATAAAGAAAATAAAAATAATAAAGTAGAGAAAAACAAAAGAATATACACTAAATGCTTTGAAAACTTAAAAAGAAAAACAAAATAATGTGTAAAGAGAAGTAATTAAATAAATTAAGAGTAAAATAATAATTAATTAACCAATACATACTAGATAAATACAACCAAAGATAAATAAAACTACAAAACAAAAATATAGAGTTCTGAAAATGTTTTGCAAAAATATAATAAAGTCGATTACTTTTTTTTATCGTATTAACAGTGATAACAACAAACACATTTACAATTCATATTTAGTGCCTGATAATTATATAATTTATAAATTGTGCTTGAGATTTTAAATTTATAATTTAATAGTTTTTTCTTATAAGGCTTTATAAGCTTCAATATCAGTTTGTAGATAGTAATTTTTTAAGTTTTTTGTGGTTTTGCAAAACACTAGTATGAATTTGATGTATATTCTATTTAACTACAATTGAAGAAAATGTTTCGTTATATTAACAATCTGATGTTATTATGTTTTTGCCGATTTCGGTATGTGTATGTAATGGTAGTAATAGTAGTAGCAGTATTGAGTTTTATTTAAGAAAGTGAGACAGTGAGAGAATAGTAAGTAGTTGAATTAAAATAAAAATCTCTACTTGACACTGTCGGGAATTTCGAAGCTAACATCCATTTTAACTTCACGGGCCAATTCAACAATTTTGGCCAAATGTACCGACAAATTGGCAGCTTCATCTAAATCGTGACGAGGAATAATTCTCAAACCAGATTTCTTAATCAATTCACGAGCCTCATTCACTTTGGTGCCCTGGAATATTAAAAATTTTAAATAAAAAAGTCTTTAAGAAAATATAATCATCATTTCCACTAACCTGCAATCTAACAACAATTGGCATTTTCATATTTAAATCCTTGGCTGCAGCAATAATACCCTCGGCAATGACATCACAACGCATAATACCACCGAAAATGTTTACCAAAATACACAACACTTTGGGATCGGAGGTAATAATTTTGAAAGCTTCCTTTACAGCTTGGGCAGTGGCACCGCCACCAACATCCAAGAAATTGGCTGGATCACCACCGTACAACTTAATGATATCCATGGTGGCCATAGCCAAACCAGCACCATTGACCATACAACCGATGGTACCATCCAAAGCAATGTAGTTCAAATCGAATTTAGCAGCTTCCACCTCTTTGGGATCCTCTTGGGTCCAATCGCGCATGGCAAACAATTCCTTTTGACGGAATTCACCGTTGTCATCGAAACGGAATTTGGCATCAAGAGCAAAGACTAATGGAGAGCAGGGATTTTATAAGAAAATTTTGTTTAAGATTTGCTTTTAAAAAAGAAATTTTAGCGTTTTTAGCAAATAACAGCTAATTAATATAAAAATTAGAATAGTTGTATTAAAAAAGTTAATAAATGAAGGAAGTAGAGTTATTAACATTTGAGAAGGAAGTTGAAGTTATAGAAAATATAATAGCAACATCTATAGAATATCAATAATAGGAAAAATAATAAATAAATATATAAACATTTTACCCTTATACCAACAAAATATAATTTAAAGTTCATTCATACCTATCAAATATTTGAGCAAAAAAACGTAACCACTATTTTTGTAATTATTTTTTTTTTTATTTTTTATTTTTGCAATTGCAAATCATGTCGAAACTAATAAAAAGAACGTTTAAAAAGAAAAAGAATGTTTAAAGGAAATCAAAATTTAGGAGTCACGTCATTTTCGTCAAATATTTGATAGGTATGAACGTAGCTTTAGTTTTTCTGTGGAGAAATTATAAAAAATCTACTTCAAAAGAACACATACTGTACTAGTTCCGAAAGAACATCTTGGAAACAGTAAAAATAATGTCATTTTTTTTATTTTTTTAATCAAAATAAAAATATTCAACAAAATCGGAAAGGTGAAAAGTGACCCAAAAACTTGTTCCGAATCATCGAATAAAAAACAGACACCAGATTAGTTATATACATAGAAGGAATGTCGGATTTTATAAGACTTCAACGGAACATGTGTAAAAATGTAAATTTTTGTATAAAAATGTAAATTTTTGTGTTAAAATGAAAATTTTGTGTGTAAATGAACTTTTTTAAATGTAACTCTTGTGTAAAAAAAAAGTAATTTTTGTGTAAAAATGTTTTTTTTTAAAGTAACTTTTGTGTTAAAAAAATAAATTTTTGTCTAAAATTGAATTTTTATGTAAAAATGTGATTTTTGTTTTAAAATGTAATTAGTATTTTCAAATCTAATTTTATGTCAAACTGTAATTTTTGTGTTAAAATGTATTTTGTGCAAAAAATTCCTGTGTAAAAAATTTAAATTTTTGTGTAAAATGAAATTTTTGTGTAAAAGTAAACTTTTTGTGTAAAAATTTAAATTTGTGTAAAAATGTATTTTTGTGTAAAAATGTATTTTTGTGTAAAAATGTATTTTTGTGTAAAAATGTATTTTTGTGTTAAAATGTATTTTTGTGCAAAAATTTAAATTTTTGTGTAAACATTTAAATTTTTGTGTAAACATTTAAATTTTTGTGTAAAATGAAATTTTTATTTAAAAATGTTTGTGTAAAAGTAAAATTTTGTATGTTTTTTGTGTAATGTCATTTTGTGTAAAATGTCTTTTTGTGTCCTCCTTTTTTGTGTCCCTGTCCTTTTTGTGTCCCCTGTCCTTTTTTTTTGTCCCTGTCCTTTTTGTGTCCCTTTTTTTTGTGTCCCCTGTCCTTTTTTTGTCCCCTGTTCTTTTTGTGCAAACCCATCCTTTTTGTCTCATTTATTTCTGTGTCGCAATTTTGTGTAATCTAAGTTTTGTGTAAAAAATTTTTGTGTAATTATTTTTGTGTAAACATCTATGAAAATGTAATTTTTGTGTAAAACTGTAATTTTTGTGTAAAAATGTAAGTTTTGTGTAAAAATTTAATTTTTGTTTTAAAACGTAATTTTTGTGTAAACATCTATGAAAATACTAAATTTTGTGTAAAAATGTAAGTTTTGTGTAAAATGTAATTTTGTGTAAAATTTAATTTTTGTTTTAAAATGTAATTTTTGTGTAAAATGTAATTTTTGTGTAAAAAAAATTTTTGTGTAAACATCTATGAAAATACTAATTTTTGTGTAAAATGTAATTTTTGTGTAAAATGTAATTTTTGTGTAAAATGTAATTCTTGTGTAAAATGTAATTTTTGTATAAAAGTGTAATTTTTGTGTCAAAATTAATTTTTAAAATATTTTTCCATCCCTGCTTAATTTCACACAAACAATTTTCAATCTTTGATTTTGGCATTAACAAAAAAATAATATTACGAGTTGTTCCCCGCACTGTGTTGCAAACTAAGTACACAAGAACAACATTTACCATATAAAGCTGTATGTTGTTGTTGTTGGTTCTCGAAGATATCTGGGGTCTTCAGAAAATTGATTTCAAGAAACATACAGACGGACACACAGATAGACGGACATAGCTTATTAGATTCCGCTATCTATAAGGATCCGGAAAATTATATTGTAGAAATTACAAACCGAAAGATAAACTCATATAAACACTTCTCACGAAGGTGAAAGAATAACTCCGGACTTCTTTTGTGAATCGAAAACATTTTCATTTGATTTTCATATCGAGAAATATTGGCGAAAATTTGGTGTAAAATTTCGTTCAAACAAATGTTTTTATATAAAAATACCGTCAAATTTGTATAAAAACAGACTTTAAATAGAAATTAGGGTTTAAGGTGAAAGAATTGTAGTGAAAAGTGCAAATTGCCCACAACCTAAATGTGCAATGGTGTAAAATACAAGTAAATTTTAAATAATATTAAAAAATTAAATAATATTTCTAAAAATCTCCCCAAAAAATAATAGTTAATAAGTTTTAAAGTTGAAAACTAAAACTAAAATTATAAACAACATTTAAACTAAGCGTTTTATACAGA